TTTTGGTACAATTATAGAACGCCATATTGATGTTAGGCGTAGTTAATAGTATTTGTTGAAGCTAATTTATAACTTATTTGATTAGTCTATACACTTCTTATATTTCTTTTCTTAAGTTTTAACAATCTTATTGAGGTGTTTGTTTCAGTTGTTTTATATGCTAATTTTACACACTTTATTGTATTAGCTAACTCTTTATTCACCAGCCATAAACTATTATATATCAACTTAAAATTAGTTGATGAACTACCAATTAATTTATCGGAAACAAGCTATTAAGTTTGATTTATCAAACTTACCTTTAATCATTACGAAAATTATAATTTTAGCAATAAATATATACTTTAAAAATATTGTTTTTTAATACAATTCAAACCAAAATATGACATTTAAGTCCAAAAGAATTTAATGTAAAATCTAGCGATTTTTAGAACCTGAAAGAATTTAATAATCAAGTTAAGACTCAAAAGATTAACATCAAAAGAATTTAATACATTATCAGTCACAAAATTTAATAAAATTTTGTCGTTGAAACTCTAAATTAATAGTTAACCCGAGAATTGAATTGTTAGTTATCTCATCATGCNTTTTTTTGACAAATAAGTTGGCAGTAGATTACTATCTTCATTAATATATATAACCAATAAATCATTCACATTAGCATCACAAGAAAGGTCTGATTGTGGTGACTTGATCCTTGATGATGGTTACCTATAACTCCAACTTTAAATAATCTAGAGAATTTAGAAACGAACAAAATGACAATAATATGAAACTTGAATATTTGTGGTGACTTGATCAAGGATGATGGTTACCTATAACTTCAACTTTAAATAATTTAGAGAATTTAGAAACGAACAAAAATGACAATAATATGAAACTCTTCAATCCAGATAATGCAAAGAGTTTTGTTTTAATTGGTTGTATGTATTGATTCTATCAATGTTGATTGCTAAGGTGGTGACTGTTCAACCCACTTTCTTTTTCTTAATTAATTATTTTTTTTTTTAACATATTATGGACAATAAGTTAGTTATATGCCATACATTAAATATTCTTTATTATATATGAAATTTCTTCAAATAGAACTTTGTAGTTACTTATCTCCTTTTTTTTTTTCAATTTAGTTTTATATGTTGAGTCGGTATATTATGAAATATTTTATTCCACACTTATATTTAATTTAATATTGATTATTCGGCTAGAACTACTTCTTTCTCAAATTATCAGTCAACACCTATTTCTTTTTCACTATTTATACCGATAACACGAATTTGTATGTAGAAATTCTATGAAATCAGTAGTCAGTCTACTGATCAATTATCGAGCCATCATGAATTGATCTATAGATACTCATGTAAGTGTATGTTCTAAGACATACGTCAATACACTTTTTGTGCATAATCGTATATGATTCCATAAATCGTGTCATTAATAACATCATAGAAAATTAACGTATGGTACAAATCCTCACGATAATGTTTAAAAAAAAAAGATAAAATCTTACAATAGTCTATATTTTATACTCCTAAATATTAAATTCAACTAAGAAAAAGCATGTCCCTATATATGTCATGCTTCATGAACCATCTCTAGCTAATGACATTTCAANTTATCTCTTTAAACGCTCTCAAAAATAGCTTAGGCTCAATTTTCTCTATTCCCACCTTAGTCACATAAATGGATTATTATTCATTGAATTACAATATTGTGTGGTAGGGTCTAAGTAGTCTAATAAATGGGACAATTCATTCAAACCAAACTTGCTTTTGTTATAATGGTGATGATGATTATGAATTGAACGGTGCAAATAAGAAGTTCGAAACTCACTTCCATTATGGTCGTCCACTTTATTTAGCCATCAAACTAGACTGATGAAGATGTTCAGATTTTAATTTGTTCAAATTAATTAAAATATGTTTAGAAAATAATCATTCAGGGAGAAGTGTTATAAATATTTGGTTGATTGATTGATGGTTACACCCACCATCACCAATAATTAATTTTATTATAAAATAATATATGCGAATGACTATTTTGCCCCTGATGTAATTGTATTATTACGATTGTACCATCAGAAATTTTCCTATAAATAGGAATTTCAGTTTTAATGAAAATACAACGTAGAAAAAACATTCTCTATATTCTTTTTTTCTTTATTTTTATAACAAAACACACGTTCAATTGAACTTACCATCTTGACTACAACACAGTTGCATATTTCAATTGACCCATCACACTTTATCTATATTGATAATACAATTGCATATTCTTCAATTGACCCATCACACTTTCTCTCTTTACCATTCTTCAAAAGGACTAGAGAACAAATTTATGGTTTTTTTTTTTTCCCTTTCAATTTCTCTCATGCTTTATCTTGTAACAAGGCTTGGTAGGCCCGAAAATGCCAGACTTATTACTTTATCCAGTAAATTACGAGACAGTTAACACTGTCAACATTACCGTATAATTCAAGTATACTACTAGGCAGTTAATACTGTCAGAACCATACATGTAATTCAAGTTGATTCGCGAGATCTTTTAAACTCGTCGATGAAATAAACATAAAAAAAGAAAAAAAAATGCATTGAATCATCTTTAGGGCTATTATACTTGTCAAACATCGATGGACGAAAGCGATCCAACTCGTTAAAACCATGTAAATAATGAAAGTCATGTTCTTACACAGTTTTGGAACTTCCAAAACTTACCTATCTTGAAGAAACAAGAAGAAGAAGAAGAAGAAAAAGCAGCAGCTTTAAAGTAATGGTGATTAAATTAATATTAAAAAAAAAAAAATGGTCTGCCCAGGTAGCTGCTCAACTTGAACACAGAATGCATTTTTATCCAGCACTGCATAATCACTGTCCTATTTCTCTCATCATCATCATCATCATCATCATCATCATCATCAGCTTTCTTATATTTTCCTAAGAAACTCATTTCAAATTCCTAACCTTCTTTTTTTCATTTTCCCTCTCCAAATATTCCGAAACAACCTCACTTGGCGCCCTCGTTTTCAGCACCATCTCCTCATACTCGTCTTTAGCGTTCGAAAGTGCGGTGATGGCCCCACCAGCACCAATCGACACCTCGCCATCATGTACAACAATCGTCCTTATCACAATGTTTAGGTCAAAGGTTTGGTTGTAAGAGAAATACCCGATACACCCCGAGTAGATTCCCCGAGATTCACTCTCCAAGGAATCGAGAATCTCCATTGACCTCAGTTTTGGTGCTCCGGTCATCGACCCGCCCGGAAAAGCTGCCCGGACACAATCGACCCCACCAATGTCGGGCAGCTTGTGGCCGCGGACTGTGGAGACCATTGTGTGGACTGTGGCGTAGGACTCGATTTCCATGAGCCGGGGCACGTGAACGGAGCCGGGTTCGCAAACGCGTCCCAGATCGTTTCGCAAGAGGTCCACGATCATTAGGTTTTCGGCTTGGTCCTTCTCACTGTTAAGAACAATAGATTTGAAAGTCACTCGAAAAGGAAAAAGGAGGGAAGAGCAAGGTAGAAATATTGGAAAAAAAAAATGGAGATTCAGTCGTGTAACTGACACCAGATTGAGAAATAGTCTACTTATGGTCCTTCCACCGGAAAAAGCTGGTCGATTTGATTGGCTGCTGAGTTAGTATGTTAGTCGGCTGCCACGTGTACCCAAAAAAAAAAGAAAAATAATATCCACGCTAGCAACCGGTCACAGGGATCGGCTTTTGCTGGTGGAAGAACTAAAATTCAGGTTTTTTGCAGTTGCAGGGTGTTTTTTTGTAAAATCAACACGAGAATCTGACTATTCCTCAATTAGGTGTCACAGTTACAGGACTAGATCTCCAATTTTCCTAGAAATATTGCGTATTTTTCTTGAAACTGAAATCTACAATTTGAACTGCAGCTACAAGATACTTTCCCTATAGTTGGAAAGACCTACAAAAATTGTAGCTACTCGAGAGGTTAATGCTTGAAATCACGATGAGTTTTCTGTAAAATAAGATATTGAGATGATGGTTACAATAGCTACAATAGTTACCCGTGATGTTTGATATATTTTCCAAATAAATTAACACCTGGTTGTGCTTGTAGGAAAAAAAAATCTTCAATCAACTTATGTAAATTACACAGACAACCGAACAAAAGATGGAGTTGTTCATAATATTTAGAAACATAAACATATCTAGTCGCATAAACTACTTGTTTTTTGTAATTTTCTAAAAATAGTGAGTTTTGGTTAGTAACATAAATCTCACCTCATGTTTATTTACACTTGAAAGATAACTACATTGCAGCAATATGCAAAAATATTTGTCTGTTAGAACCACTAACAATCTGCTCCAGCTAAACACTAAAATTTGGAAAATTGTAATCAAGCAAAAAAAATATATATATATTGCAGCATATGCGAAAATATAAATTGCAGCATATGCGAAAAACAATAATATTAATGAGTCTGTTTGACTTACCTATACATTAATCGACGCTTGTTCATTTCATCTTCGTCCCTAGATGCCCCACGAGCTACAGTCCCTTTAATAGGCTTAGCTTCCAAAACACCGTCTCTATCCAACCGTAAGAACCTCTCGGGCGAAGAACAGCAAATAAACAACTTCTCTTTTGGAAAACTGAGCCATGCGGCATATGGAGCCGGGTTTTTTTCTCGAAGGCTCGAATATAATCCCAAAGGATTTATTTCGCCAACAGTTATCATCCTCATTTGTGTTGTAAGGCACAGCTCGTAACTTTCCCCTTCCTTTATAAGTTCCTTACATCTCTCAATGTCTGCCATATATTGCTCCTCTGATTTCTCGGCTGCAAATCTTTTTCCGGCAGATTTCTTTTGGGAAAGTATGAATGATAAAGACTTGGATTTTGTTGGTGGATAAAGTTTCATATTCAGAAGCTTTTGCTCGATTTTATCCATCCACGGTGTTGTACTTGCACAGTTTTCGACTATAGATAAGATATAAATATCATCACATTGATGATCTATTGCAACGAGGTTATCTGCAAAGAAAAGGCAAGCATCGGGGGCTTTTGATTTGTGGTGGTTCGTGTGGGCCCCACATTCAACTTTAAGATCATACCTGCACTCGAGTGATAAACCACCACTGATTATGAGACGTGCAAATCCCAGATTTAATGTGAGTTGCTCAACTTGAAGGAAGGGGAGAAGGCTAAACAAAGATATATACTGTTTAATTATCCCAAATCTAAAAAATAAAAAATAAAAAAATGAAAGGAAAAGAATCTCATGACAGCAGCATTCTTATATGGCATTGCTTGGCAAACTTCTCAGGACTGCAAATCAGTTAACGTTTGAAAATATTGTTAATGGCACCAATAACTTTTTATCCGTTATATTCGGCTAAACTCCGGTTTAATTATTGTAATTTACCCTGTGGCCCATAAAATATGGGATATAGTTGGACATACCCGATGTAACCAATAAAGCCACCATAGAAATCAAAAGGCAATCCTTCATAATCTGCTGAATCATATTGAAATGACTGGAGCTCCTAAATCATGGATACAAAAAATAACATATAACGAAAAAATAACGAGCAAGTTAGAAAGCAATGAGACAGAACAAGCTTGAATCGTGTTTGATAGATAAAGCACTTAACAGAGAAATTGATCAAAAACTACCATGAAAATCATGCAGCAGAGTTTTTCAGAATAAAATTTCCTCAAAAGGACTCAAACATTGGAGTGTAGCCTCATAATAATTGCCTGCCTATCTTCTGTAACGTCATTTATGATTCATATTACTAATAAGGAAATGCATTTTGGGCATATCTCACCGATGTTCAAAAAGTTAAAAAATCACAATATCATGAATACCTGATTCAAAAAGTTAAAAAATCCATCTTCCAAGTAACTCCTCGTAATGTTGCCATCAGCATCTTCACTTGATAGATGGCCTCCATGATTATTAAATGCCATATCACTGCAAGAATAGTGCTTCTCAGTAATATAAAAAAGAGTCAAAACTCCTTACTCCAATAGAAAACTAAGGTTAATGGAAATATAAACAAAAATCTGGTCCAATGTAATTATTATCATACGCCAATCTCTTGTTCAGCAATCTAAATGTCAATTGTCTCCAGAGTGACCCTCCTTTACCACCCATAAAGGAAAAGCGAGCTCTGCGCTACAAACGAAGAGATAATTCATAATTACCCATTACGAAAAATGCAATTATGCTCAGGAAAGACAAACTATGTATACAAAATAAGGATTATATTCCCTCATATTAGAGCGTGATTTTATTTCTCCATGAACACAGACATTATTCCCGAAAGTTATATAAAAGGAATTCCAAAAGTTACAGCAAACCTTATTCCCAGGTCATTTTCACTTATGACAGCTGTATCTTTTACATAGATTTTTCATGCATGTCAAACATTTAAGCTTTTAGCATTTGGATCTACTTGGTCAAAGAGTCAACTCCTAAATAGCAGTTCCAGAATGATAAGTGGTAAAGATTTCAGTGATTGATCATAATTACGATGGGCACCTAATTAGAAAATTGATTAAAATCCAAAATTGGCTGTTTAACATGAAACTATCAGCACCTTAATGTTGTTCATTCCAGAATGTTATCCGATCATACTTCTAATCCTCGAATTCATATAGGACAATGACCTAAAGCGAACTCTTTGGCCAATTCAATTAGACGCACTAAGAATTATTAAACATGAGCGAAAAAAAAAAAAAAAAAAGAGGAAAGAGGAAAAAAGTGAACCATCTCAGTTGATGAACTATCCAGCCAGAATGTGTTCCCTGCTTGGCGATCTCCAAAAAGCTCGAAGAATATATTTTCTGCCCCACCAACTTGGCCGACAGAACATTCAACTTTTCTCCATTTCAACTTTAAAAATTTTGTTTTTCCTGAAGGGGGTGTACTAATTGAGCTCCCGAGACCAGTCTTTCTGTAGCCCAATCCATTCACCAAATGCTTATTTCTTACCGCATCTTGCAATAGCTGAGTTACATCAGGCACCTGCATGCATGCTAAGTAAAGATCACTGCTCAGAGTGATTGAAGAAGAATATGCTAAGATGGATATATCTTACTCCAAAAAAATTATGGCATCTTACATAATCCAATCAATAGAAAATGTTGGTTATTACCAAA